GCCAATAGCAATTCAAGGTAGAATGTTACTGAATGTGATGTGTGATAAGAAAGAAGGAAGAGGAAGTAGGAAGTGAAGATATGGCGGATAGATAATGATTAATGCTAAACTTGAAGATGTTAAGTGAAGCAGATCAAAATGGTATGGGTGGCTTCAGCAGTGTTTCTCAACCGTGCGCCTGGGCATCGAATTCGCTCTTGCGTATTGATGCGCCCGGGCTTACCAATATTCACTGAAAGGTAACCGTGTGCCACCAAGTCGACAGAAGAGTAAACGGTGGCGTAAATGGATAGCGGCTCGGATTGAGAAATGGGAGAGCCGAGTTCGAATTTCAGTCGAGTCCATTACATTCACTTACGTGCTAATACTTTTGGGAAAGGTATGAATCCTCTTCTTCTTCTTCCCTTAGCTATGGGTAAATATTAGGACAGACCCAACTTCTATAGCTTTGGATAGCAACTAGTCTACCGCAGAAAGAAATGGCAACCTACTGCGGGAAAAAAATCTGTCTCGATCATGTATTAAAAGACAGGTCATCGCCACAGAGTTTGAGTTCTTCTAAAAGGGCGTCAACTCTGCAATATTGTAACTTAATGTTAAATATGCTTAGCGGGTTTTCTCTACTAACCAGTGACTTTCCATTGTGAGTGTAACGGGTCGCCAGTTTGCTGGCTACTGCTGCCGACTGGTCATTAGGTGCTCGAACTCGTTGGAACAGTCGCATAATATTGGTGTATCTTGCGCATGAGTAGGTGGCCTAGCATATATTTCCGGTGGGCAATACTGATGTCCCATTATGCTCTGTTCATTGGATGGTTTCTATTGCCATTGACGACAGATAGTGACAATTATGATGGTCATTTTTTTCTCTCTCCTAAAAACGAATCTCATAGGTATTGTTGTGGGGTCCACCCCTTTTTATACAAATGAACTCACCCAGTATATACATATACTACTGCAAGAGGGAGATGAGAGTAAGAGAGAGCAAGACCGTCGAGTCGAGTCCAGAGTGAGTAAAAGGTTGTAGGTAACCGGAAGAGTGAGGGGTGAGGTAACAGCGTTGTAGGAGTCACAATGAGCGAGCACGTAGACTCAGTACGAAGTCATACAGCGAGACTGTATATATATTTTGCTACTAACCCGTATTCCTGGAACTACTAACCCGCTTTACCAGTTTGTATTATTACGTTAATACATTATTTTCATATATTCATTCCTGGCGTTTGTTATTTATTGGTACCGGATTTCAACCCGGAATCCACAACAGGTATCTCAACAAAAAGAAATACAACTAAACTAGCAAACAAAAAAACATACCTGAATCTTTCTTTCTTCAGTATTATTCCGACTTTTGTAGGGTAGAATCTTTTCTCCTGGGACGGTCGGTTTGTGATGTCAACAAACACTCGTTGCCACTTTCGTAATGCTCGTTGTAGTAGAGACTTTGTAATCGCAGATACAACAATAGTAACGCCGTTGAACAATACTGGTGTCAGACGCCTTCGAATAACACTCGCACTAATAGTACTTGCTCGATAATACACGCTCGAATAGTAAACTAGATCTCCACAAAGCATGTGAACCCGATGCTATCGCTGTAATAGTCATTAAGAAGTGTGCTCTTGAACTGGCTCCTGTTCTCTCTAAACTGTCTAGTAAATACTTTGCTGTCTCCCGCTTTCCCACCTACTTTTTACTTTCCTGTCTGCTTTAAGTAATCATCTGTTGTTCCAGATTTTAAGAACTCTGGCGAATCGTTCGAACCTTCCAGCTATTGGCCTATTAGTTTCCTACCTCTCTTTGGGAAACTATTAGAGACCCTAATCAATGCTGAATTGGTTCATCATCTCTCATCGCAGGGCGTTTTCTCAGACAAGCAATACGGCTTTCGTTTCTCCAGGTCAACTGCTGATGTCTTGACGATAATGGCGGAAAGAGTTTATCCTGCTCTAGATAAAAGTGGTGAAGTCTGAGCTGTAGCATTGGACATCTCGAAAGCCTTTGACAGGGTCTGGTATACAGGTTTCTCCACAAGCTGAAAAGTTACGGTGTCTGTAAACAGCTTTAGCTGATCCAGTCTTTCCTATCAAATCGTGAAATGAAAGTGATATGTCCCGGAGAGGGATATATTTGAACGAAGTAGCTAAGTGGTTTTGGTTACTATAACCAAGTGGAATAGGGTAGCAGTAATCGGCTGGTACGCGTCGTAGTCGCAGGTAAGAAGTGTCGATCAATGGCGTAGTCCAGTGGGCGTCGTTATAGACTTAGCTCTCGGACTAAGGCTTTGACTCTGCCGTACCTACACGTCCGTCGGTATTTATGACAGACACCAGCCAATCATATTCCAGTGAGGGGGAACACAGGTGTATGCATATTCCATTATATCAGAAAGTTATCCTGAACAGCTAACACGGGTGTCCCCCAGTGCTCTCTCCTTGGTCCTATGCTATTCTAATTTCATTAGCGACCTTCCCCGATGACATCAGCTCCCAACTTGGCGTCTACGCTGACGACACAACCTCCTGCCTCGATAATAAGGTGATCAGTCCGACAAGGTCAAAATGGCAGCCAATGTCCAAAACGACCCCAAGTCCGTCGTTAACTGGGGCAAAAGATGGCTTGTTAATTTTAACGCCCCCAAAACTAAACTTCTCTCCATTAATCATCTACGAGAGCCCTTCCTCGTTACGTCTTCTCAGGATAACGTTCTCAGCTGACATGAAGTGTAAAGTGTTAACTCCATTGTTAGGTCAGCTGCTAAGAAAGTTGCTTCACTACGTCATGGGAGACAATTTTTCTTTCCGGAATCTATCTTACATATCTATAAGTCTACCATTCGTCCATGATTAGACTATTGCTACGATATATGATCCAGTGTTTCTGCTATTTAACTTGAGCTCTTTGATAAGTTCCAAAAAAGAATCAGCAATATTATATTCAGTCATTCACCTACCACCGTAAGGTTGCCTCTCAGTTCCTTTTTTTTTTTTAATAAATACTTTCATGGTAATTGTTCGGGTGAGCTTTTCGCTTTGGTACCTAAACTCTATGAATTTAAGCGCTAGGTACTAGACTGGTATCGAGATCTCATCAATTTACAATCGAGCTGGCTAGATGTAGCCGTAAGTTCTATGCTAACAGTTTCTTCTCTCGCATCTGGAAATCCCTTCCGACTCCATGCTTTACCAGTCAACTTTAATCTGCAAAAATTTAAATGCAATGTCAATCGCTATTTACTGTCCTCCTGATTACTCTTTTCTCTTCCTGCTCATTAATGTTTCTGTTCCTAATTCTTCCACATCATGTAACCCCTTGTGTCTTAGTGTCTTTACTGCCTTGCTTGGGGTGATATCGATTTAAAAAAAAGCTGCTGGCTGAGATAATCAGAAAGAAAGAAAGAAATAAAGAAAGAAAGAAAGAAAGAGAAGGTGAAAGTAAAAAAAAAAGATACAGAAAGGAACAAAAGAAAGAGTTGCTGAAAATGAACATATGGTTGCCTCTTCATTATTTTCTGTGGTCCGAAATATCCGGGAGACAACGTGTATCTAGCTTTTCCCGCCACTGATGATTGATCAGTGAACAAAAGGCATTTGTCCTTTTGTAAAGGTAGATAAGCCGAGATGACTCATCAAAAAGGGACACTTGATCTTTATATAGCGAACCAACAGCGGATTCATTAGAGACCAACTTTATATTGTGTTCGATTTTATGAGATGCTGAGGATAAAAAAAAGCTGGTTTCGAAACAATGCTGTAAAGTAGACAAAACGTATTCATAGATAGATAGATAGATAGATAGATAGATAGATAGATAGATATTGATAGAGAAATAAGACTGAATAGATCAGAGTGAATAGATAGATAGATTATGATTGATAGATAAATCTGAATAGATCAGAGGAATAGATAGATAGATAGATAGATAGATAGATAGATAGATAGATAGATAGATAGATAGATGGAGAAATAAGACTGAATAGATCAGAGTTAATAGATAGATAGATAGATAGATAGATAGATAGATAGATAGATAGATAGATAGATAGATAAAACTGAATAGATCAGAGTGAATAGATAGATTGTGATTGATAGATAAATCTGAATAGATCAGAGGGAATAGATAGATAGATAGATATATAGATAGATAGATAGATCAGAGTGAATAGATAGATAGATAGATAGATAGATAGATAGATAGATAGATAGATAGATGGAGAAATAAGACTGAATAGATCAGAGGGAATAGATAGATAGATAGATAGATCAGAGTGAATAGATAGATAGATAGATAGATAGATAGATAGATAGATAAAACTGAATAGATCAGAGTGAATAGATAGATTGTGATTGATAGATAAATCTGAATAGATCAGAGGGAATAGATAGATAGATAGATAGATAGATAGATAGATAGATAGATAGATAGATAGATCGGAGTGATTAGATAGATAGATAGATAGATAGATAGATAGATAGATAGATAGATAGATAGATAGATAAAAATAGATTCATACATAGATATATTAAGATTGCTAGATAAATAAGTAGATAAAAATAGATAGATAGATAGATAGATAGATAGATAGATAGACCAAAGTGGATACATATATATGTACGTATTTCGAGTATTTGAACAACACGAGCAAACCGAATTTAGTACGAACATCTGACACACACGTTTGGGAACAGTTTGGCAAGGTTCGTTGATTTTACGACTTATCAACCCTTGTTAGGCTTATTTAATGTCGAATGCTGCATGGGCCACCCAGTGAGGCTCGAATTCACAATTCAGTAGTAAGAGTCAACGAGATTAACCACGCTAACCATTAATAGCCGTTCAGAAAACCTTTGCGTGTACAGACTCCTTCGAAAGATGGCGTCGAACCTAGTTGTTAAAGAATTATCATATTCCGTGGACTTGGCTGGTTTCACTGCCGTTGGAAAAAATACGATTCCATCTATTCTCCCTCCCCACTCCTCTCACCGCCTATTGTTAAATCTCGCTGCTAACATCGTTTCTCGTTCGATCCCCGAAGTTAAGCAGTGTCGAGCCTGACCAGTACTTAGATGGGGGACCGCTTTGTAACACTGGGTGCTGTAATCAGCTTCTTACAATCCGAAATACGTTTCGGCTTTAAATAAACAAAAAAGGTTGATAAGCCGTAAATGACGAATCATTTAATCAATACCACTGCGTTTTTTTTTTAGAATGGGCAATAACTGTATAAATTATCTTTGATAAGTCATAAAAAAAGCAAATTAATCAATCTCCCCCCACCACTACCACCACCACCACAGGCAGTGTGTTAAATAGCAAGGCAGACTAAACTCTATAGCCGCATTTGGCAACTAGTATAGGAGAAGGAAAACTTTGAATTCAAATCTGTATTGGGCACGAGTTTGAACAAAAAGCCGGTCAGCCTCGGTGTCGTATAAAGCACGGATTGGTTGTGTGGACGTTGGTGAAATACAAAGTCGAAACAACACTGATGATGAAGGTTGGTTACTTTCCACCTCTTCCCCCTTTTTTATTTTTCTTACTAATTTTCTTTCCCTTTTTTTATTTATTTTCATCTTACTTTTATCCTCATCTCGTTTTTTTTTTTTTTTTTTTTTTTTTTTTTTCACCCTTGCCTTCTGTTGGGTCACTTAGCCATCACGTTTACTCAAATCAGTGGTTCTGAACATTTTTTTTTACCACTTGGACCACTTTTACTCTTTTTTTGCGGAGCGGGGGTTTATTTTTTGCGGCATATCAACCTCAATGGGTCGTTTAATGCCAACAACTTTTTTTTTCCTGGTACTATTTTTGTTTTGTCAAAAATCTATTTCTGTTAATATTTTTTCCTCAAAAATGTATAGATGATAATATTATTTTTTCAAAAGACGTATAGATGACATCACTATTCTTTCAAAAACGTACAGCTGGTAATATTATTTTTTCAAAAGTTTACAGCTGGCAAAATTATTTTCCAAAAACGTGTTATCACAGGCCTTGCTGTTGGACGTAGTTTATCGTCATACCCAGGACGCGGATGTAGTTTATCGTTATACCCAGGACGTTTGTTTTTTTTTTTTTGTTTTTTTTTGGTGGGACCCTCCCATAACCATTCGATGAAAAAACAGACTATTTAATTTTTTACTAATAGAATATAATATAACAATTTTATTATAGAAAAATGGTAAATGTATACGCCTTATTTTAAAGTAAAACTAATTTAATGAAAATAATCTTGTATTCAGTAACCAAATTCGATGGAACATTTATGTACACTAGTAAAATAACCTACTGCGGAAAAAAATCTTCCTCGTCAGTCATGCATCGAAAGATACATGATCTCCTATATAACTGATTGAGTAAAATAAACTATTTTAAAATTTATTTATATAAACTATTTTAAAATTTATATATATATATATATATATATATATATATATATATATAATCCTTCATTTATATATCCTTCTCAGTTTGTATTAAACTTTTACAATCAAAACATCCGCTAGAGTAAAAGGGACGTTAATTTACATCACTTGATCTCATTTTCTGCTAGTTTTAGATTCTATTTTTAGTATTTTAATACGGCGTAACTTACTGTAGAAATTCCAGTTCTCAGTTGTAACAACCGTCCCAAAGTGGAATTGCTCTATGGACCACTAAAATATTACCGTGAACCCTCACCCCACAATTTGTTATTTTTTGAGGTGGACTCCAGTAATATTACATGGTCCACCAGGGTCCATACGGACCCCGGTTGAGAACTACTGATTTAGATTCTTGAAGGGACAGACAACACTGGACTTATTTTTTCTTTCTTTCCTATTCTGACGCCATCTTGATAGTCACGTTCCAGTTCTATGAAAAACATGACTTGATTCTTTCACAGTGGAATTATATTGGCAAAATATAAACGCCGGATATAGAGGCACCGGTCTGTCTGTCTTTTTGCTTTGGTAGGTGCCCGAATATATGTGCATGTGTATATGCATGTCTGTCTGTGTGTGTATGTATGTGTGCGTGTGAGCGCACGCTTGTGTGCTGATATCATAACGCCAAGAAAAAAGCTATTGTTCATTGCTTTTGTTCATGAACGGCACAGACCCAAACCTGACTGATTTTTTATTTTTCTGAGTGTGCACAGGATTTCTTTGATAAACTGAAGCTCTGAAGTACACGCTTTTACCATTAGGCGACCTTAAGTGAAAATCAAAATTACACCAATTGCACCTACCTTTCATCAACCGCATATTTTCCTGCCTACAACCCCTTTCTCAGAGATGCAACATCAGAAGATTATTGCTCCTTCCACGGTGAACGTTCATACGAGCCCCAGTCTTTAGTACCACCAGCGCGTCGTTTTACAGTCAAGATCCACCTTGCGACATCCACAGGTTTGAATCACTCTTATTCTCAACCTGTTCATAAGACAGTTTCTTCCCAAGAACAGCTGTTTTGTGCAACAGACTAACGTGTGGATGATTCCATAATCACACACACACACACACACACACACACACACACACACACACACACACACACAAATATATATATATGTATATATATATATATATATATATATAATATTATAAATTAATTGATTTAAAATATGTTTTTTCCATACTACAGTTCTAACCATGTTTCAAAAAATAGAAGCTAAAAGCCCTGAATTTAATTTTGCAATTAAATTAAAAGCATTAGTTTCATTTCATCCTCAAGCGAATTTTGGAGTAACTTTTAAAAATTACTGGGTTTTAAAGACACAGCCAAAATCACGTTCCCATGGTTACAGAATATTCTACTTCAATTGGACAAGGGATGTCTAGGTTTGCCTTATGTCAGTATCATTGTATCAGTTATTAGCTACAATTTGGTAAGGGGTAGGGATGTATTTTACAATGAGAACTGACATCCGTTCAATGCATGTCGTCTGGATTTTTTAAAAAAAATTATTGTTAACGGTAAAAAAATTCTTACGGCATTTTTTTTCTATTTATAAATTTAAAGATTTATATATATATATAATTATTTATTTTTTAAAAATTATGACATAAATATGTTATGAAATCACTACAAAAATTAGCCATTTTGTTTCAACACCTCCGGTGTCTTATCAAGTGATGATGTTGAATGTAAAATAAATGGTTTTAAAAGTTTCAAATTAATAAACGAACCTTCGTAAGGGGAAAACGATTTTACAAAAGCTAGAATGACCAATCAAAACACAAGTATACTTGCGTATATATATATATATATATATATATATATGATTTTGCTCTTGAAAATATATTTTCGAATGAGCACTGTTGAATGACAAGCTAATTCTAGAAACAACGGCCACCTGCGTAAATGCGATGCTCTTCAGTAAAATGAATGGAGCACTATGGCATCTTGACGTTTGTTTATGTTTATAAAAGCAATACGCGAGATTTGGCTGGCACGTTCTGTCGAGAGAAGATGCCTCAGTGGTAGAAGCTCTGACTGACACCAAATCGGTTGGTTTCGATCCCCTTGAGACATTCGGTTCTCTCTCTCTCTCTCTCTCTCTCTCTCTCTATATATATATATATATATATATATATATATATATATATATATATTAAAAAGGAAAATAAAAGTCAAAACTAGAGTTAGGCCAATGCTTGGATATTTTTTTAAGTGGTCCAAAACACAATTTATAAAAAAAATTAAATTTGTAGAACTGATAATAACAAAAGATTAAGAGAGGGTTTTGTCCCTCCCTTTCTGATATATCTGATTTATGGCACTTTGATAGTTTATTTAAGCGAGTTTGAATAGTGTTACAGATTAACCATTCACAAGTAACTGCTCTGACGAGACCGTAAAGTCGAAACCCCGGTAGTTCGTTGCACGTGGATTTTTCCTAATCTTAAATATATATATATATATATATATATATATATATATATATATATATATATTAAAACGAAAGATGCTCCACGTGAACTTCTTATAATATGTGGATTTAATAGGCCGCTTAATGAAATTTGATGAATAAAAGAATCAAAATGATAGCATTATTGTCAATAAGATTAACGATATTTACTATATACTAGCTTAAAAGGCGCCCTCCCTTCCTCTCTATATACTAGATTAAAAGACGCACTCCCTTCCTCTCTATATACTAGCTTAAAAGGCGCCCTCCCTTCCTCTCTATATACTAAATTAAAAGGCGCACTCCCTTCCTCTCTATATACTAGCTTAAAAGGCGCCCTCCATCCCTTCCCATATAATGGCTTAAAAGCCGACCTCCCTATATACTACCTTAAAAGCCGCCCTCCCTTCCTCCCTATATACTAGCTTAAAAGCCGCCCTTCCTTCCTCCTTGTATACTAGTCTAAAATCCGCCCTCCCTTTCTCCCTATATACTAGCTTAAAAGCCGTCCTCCCTTCCTCCCTATATACTAGCTTAAAATCCGCCCTCTCTTCCTCCTTATATACTAGCTTAAAAGTCGCCCTTCCTTGCTCCTTATATACTAGCCTAAAATCCGCCCTCCCTTTCTCCCTATATACTTGCTTAAAAGCCGTCCTCCCTTTCTCCTTATATACTAGCTTAAAAGCCGTCCTCCCTTCCTCCCTATATACTAGCTTAAAAGCCGTCCTCCCTTCCTCCCTATATACTAGCTTAAAAGCCGCCCTCCCTTCCTCCCTATATACTAGCTTAAAAGTGCAGGAGGGTCTTTTACTGGGCCCTCATCGCAATATTTTTTTGTAAGGAAATAAGAACCTACATACCTCAAATTTTCTTTACATTAATCCTTTGAGCCCTGACCACTGCTTTAACGATGACCTATTGCCTAGCCACCGCTTTAACGGTGGGTAAACACTTGTAACTATTTTTATATCTATTTTTTATATAAACCAATTATTTGCGATTTTTGACTCAGGAATTCAGGAAGAAGGGTTAAAATTCTTCAGAAACGCAGGTCTCAAAGAGTTAAGCGGCAGCAGTAGAATTCTCGTTGGACTTTTAAAAGGTAAGCTTAAATATTAATGCAATACTTAAATCCAGGTATCAATTTTGAGTTCTTCTGTGGTTTATTGTTGCATCTACTCCTCCCTACCTGTTGGGCTCTTGATTAG